AAAAATATTGAGATTCCATGTTTAAAAATTGAGTAAATTACTAGAAACACTATATACTTTTTTTGTCAAATTTTTGCAATAAATCTGCATAGATTTGGTCATTTTAGGAAGAGTGAACATCTCTTTACCAGCAGTAATCTAAAATAATTTTATATGAAATTTGTAATTAATATATAGTCAATATATCCAGATAAATTTGACCAACTTGCCATGAGAGCTTGATGATCTATTTGCTTCCTAGCGCCTAAAGAAATGGTATAAGAATTATGTATCCTGCTAATCATACATACTTATAAGAGATATTCGTTAATCAGGCTTACCCTTCTCATCTTGAAAGTTGATCTTTTTAGTCTTATACCAATTCAAGCCTCCATGAAACCCATTAATTTGGTATTGTGAAACATAGTAATCCAATTCCTTTAGATTGATCATAAAATTTAAAACATGATAACATAGCTGTTTTTTTCAAGCAATAGACGAATACTATAATAATAGTTTTACCTTTTGACTGATTAAGGGACTTCGTTCTATGCCTTCAATAGCTATTCCTGTCATAGAATTTCCATCAAAAATTTTACGCCTGTCATCTGGTTTCGAAGTGCGATAAACAATTTTGAAGAATGTTTCTGGCTGATTTATCATTTTTTAAAAAAATTTATATTAACAATCAATAGTATAATTTGTATATAAAAATCATCAACTTTACTAACATTACTATTTAACTCAATTTCGGCTTTTGGGTGAGAAAGATAAATATGATACTTAAACTGTGGATAAATTTCGACAATCGACTCAATACTGAGATACGTATCATTAGGTGGAGTGTAAGGAATACAAAGGCTGTAAAATTAATGATTTTTTAGTACACGTGATAAACTTTTAGGTTAATTGAGCAATGTATTTACCTAATTACAGCACGGACTCGTTCTGGATAATAAAGACACATCCTCCAGACTACGACACTACCCCTTATATTTGATGTAGAGTAATTCAAATTCTTAGTTGCATAATCCAAATAATTATTATTAAAGAAGAATAGTAATCCATATAATATATATATCTATCTTATATATATATATAATTTACCAATCATGTCCAATAAAAATGGCCTTTTTAATCTTAAGCTGATCCATTATTTCTTTAAGATCCTTGCAAATATTCTTAAAACCATATTGATGAAGACTGTTAGGTGGGCATCGGGGCGCTTCCTGATAATCATGAATCACATATAACATAAGGATTATAAAAATTGTTAAAAAAAATTATTAAAGGTTTTAACTTGCAATACATACTGTTTGACCGTATCCTCGAAGGTCTGGTGCGATTACCCTAAAACCTTTAGATACTAGGAAAGGAATTTGATAACGCCAGCCATACCATCTGAAAAAATATTATTAAAATAATACTAAAGATAATCATTTTTTAAGTATCAGTATCACACATTCTACTTACAAATCTGGGAACCCA